TACACACATATCTCTGACGCTTCCTATAAAGCTGTTTCTGTTCAGCATTGAGTCACTGTTCATTAGTGCATCACTTAGCTGAGCAAGAACCCACTGGGGTATGCAAAATGCCTCCTGCAGCTACTCAAGTGCCTGTGAAGAGCTGTGCCTTGCTTAGCAAGTTCAAGATTTGTCAGAAGTTTTGCAGGCTGCAGTGGCTTTTAGGAATGGTCTGAAGGAGATAACTAGATCCAGCTCTGCTCTTGGAGAGCTACAGGGTTTCCATGCTGAAGTTCCCTTGCTACTTGCTGATAAATGAATACAGTTATCAACTGACTTAGCTATAAGTTACCAAAAAAAATAATCAAAGCTATCGTCAGTACCTTCTTAGATGCTGTTGCAGGTACTGTCATGCTGCTGGGGCACATCATTAAAACAAACTCTTCCCTTCTGTACTGCACCATCCCTAGAACAATCATGCTGGTACTTGTAACAACTCCAAAAAAGAGGCACATCTGCTTCACGGTTTGGGTGGGCCTAAGCCTTTTTTAGTTACTAGAATTACACATTTCAACCCACAACATGCAAACAGACTCCAATGAATGGGAAAAGGGGTCTGGAGAGGGGCTTAGGTTTGATCTGGGTGCAGCAGTGGTGTAGTTTGAAGCACAAGCTAAAGCATTCCAGCTGCAAGTCAAAACCAGGAATGCATCATGGGAGATCTGATTTTTCTGCAGGGCTGGTAACATGAGCATTCAAATCATTCACTGCCTTTGAAGCCTGTGAAATCCATAATGGCCACAAAGTGAACATGTAACAACTACACTTCAATTACTAAAGGCTGGTCAAGTACCTGGTTTTATTCTCTCCAGTAACAAAACTCCCATAGACTTCAAAGGGGTTGGGATTCACTCTGCAGTGCGAGTGCTGGGTCCAATGAAATAGGAGATGCGACTCTGGGATGAGGTATTTCAGCTTCTGAAGGTGCAGACAGAAGGGCAGAATCGAGCTCTGATGTTGAGGGCAGCTATACAGTCTGCAGGTTTTCTGCAGCTTCAGGTTAATAAATTGAGGGTGATGCCTTGATTAACAATCTGCCCCAAAGCTTCATGGTTACTTTTGGAAAATATGCAGGTTCCTACCAACTATAGTAGGAGTTACATATCCAGCCTGCTTAGCTGCTGTTAGAAATCCCACTGCATACCTGTGTGTCTCTTCTGCACTTAAATCCCTTTGAAATTCTTGCTTTGGCCATTGCTTACAGAGGTGGAGGCTCCGAGGGTAACGGATATTTCTTTTGCAAAGTGCCTCACAAACTATTTCATGATTCCAGTGTAAAAGTACCAAAGTTCATTTCTCTCAGGCTCACATCCATAAGCTTTATTTTGCCATGTTCCCTGCATAGATGCTCAGGATAAATTACCTTCAATACCTTGTAGCAAGCCTTGTGCCCTGTGGTGTGTGCTTCCTAGCACTGGGATCTGTTTGCTTGCCCTCCTTTTCCAGGAGGAAGGAGATGGAGGCTTGAGCAGCACCCGGCTGCCCGATGGCCACCTTCAGCTCCCCTTAGAAGGGTTTGTGACCACAACAGTGACTTGATGTCCTGTTGCTCAGCACCCTTCTAAAGCCAGTCCTGGCTTTGCAAAGCACTTTCCCAGGCTTTTGGGTGAGTGAGCCATAAATACCAAACAGAAGTTGGACCTGAGTCACTGGATTTTGAGCTATGCACACGAAAGCTTTGAGAAATGTTATATTAGTCAAAACGTCAACTGTTTTTACAGTGTTTGTGATATTGTGAACATTTTTGTTCATGAATGTACTTGTTTGCCTAAAGTGAATAACTGATGCTGTGTTCCTAAAGAATGCTGTACATGCCTTTTTATGAAGGAAATGTTGCCAGTTTGAAGAGCTTGCCTTGCAATGAATTCATAGATTTGGAAAGGCCAAAAAGAATATTTGATCATTTAGCCTGGTTTCCTACAAACACCTGTCATAATATCTTCAGTCTGACAGAGATACAATTTCTATTAGTCTAAGTCTGAGTTGCATCTCATCTGCTACAAAGGGCAGGGCTGGGCTCTCATTTTTCCTGCCAGGGTTGTTATGTGTCTGTCTGCCCACAACTGAGGTGGATGAGGGAGAGCTTCTGCCCTCTGTCCAAATGTTGGTACTGTTGAGGGAAAGGATTTCAGAAACAGTCAGCTGGGAGTGCAGCTGTTAGTCTGGAAAGACCTATGCCTGTATTTTACCCTGACAACAAAGTGCAGGCAAGAGATGTTGATGGTCAGATACCAACCTGTCTGAACTCGTAAAGTCATTAACTATTGAACTGCTCATACCAATGGTTTATTTGAACCAAGGGCACCATCACACCTCAAACTAGAGGCTCATCTGTGGTTTAACTGAAAATCCAGCCTTCAGCATGTCCCTTGGTCTCTTCACACTCAAAGGAAACTATCCCTAGTCAGCCTCAGCCTGGGCTTTCCACCTGCACCCTGTGCTGTTCTGTGGCTCTAGGTGTCCTGCTCTCAGCTGTGTGTGACACGATGCTGAGCTGCCCCTGGGGAGCCTGGCAGGAGCTGCTGTGCCTTGGACCACTGCAACAGGAGCAGCACAGGCTTGGAGAATCCTGTTTCAAATCTCAAAGGGCATTTCCAGCAATCTCCTGGGGGAATCCCACTGCTCTTGTGTTATCATAAGCGCAGAGAGAGAGGGGAACCTTTTTGGTTTCCTGCTGGCCATTGTACCTGTGGAGCTCCAGGGAGAGGGATCCACAAAGCCAAAGGCGAGCAAACATTTCCCTGCCTGCGTGGGGGAGAGGGTTTGGCTTTGTTTTGCTCTTGTTGCTAACAACGTCAGATGGGTCTGACTTTCCAGGCTCGGGATGAGACAAACAGCCAAGGAAGCATCAAAGTGAATGGGTGTTTTTTGATCAACATTGGAGAGAGTTTGTTTTCTTTCTCCACTTGCCCAATGACACACTGACTTGGATGACTGGTCTGTGACAGAGCCGGGTGGAAAATGTCAGTGGAAAAATGCAGAAAAGGAGCAAATATTTTTACAAATGTTAGTGACAATATTTTTACCTTTGGTCAATCCAAACCAACAGGAATATTTTTTTCAGGACATACTGTTCAAAACTCGCCATAGCCTGTGCCAAAATGTATGCAAAAAGGGGAATATGCACGAACGCTCATTAAAAATAGTGTTCCTGTGGTGAATATGATGCAGTAAAATTGCATCTCATCTTGTGGCTGGAACATCTGTATAATTAGCAAGATTCCTCACCTCTTCCAGCCAGTGGTTCATGTATATGCCTGCACTTTGCATACATTTTTTTTGTCCCTTAGGACGTGGAGGAGACAGTTTGCAGAAACACTTTCTGCTCCACACAGCTATCCTCAGTGGTACCTTGTCACTCTCTCTAACAGAGTTGTAACCAACCTGTGGATGTACCATTGTAAAATGAAGGCACTAAATATCATTCTGACTCTGTCAGTAAGATTCCTAGTGGGCACCTACCTCACTCATCAGAATCTGAGGGAGAACTTCCTGGGCATCTGATGAGGAAGGTCATTTACTCCAACAACAGGTTTCTGGCATTCCCTAATACCCTGACACACTGGTTAGTGCCTCCTCCTCTGCCAACACATGTTTTGTTTCTGCTGTTCCCAAGAATGAAAAGTTATTCCTGCAGGCTTGTACCTAAATAACCTATTTAAGAAATAGAGCTTAGGGAGGCTTCTACTGCTGGAAGGGCTTAAAAGAAAAAGAGAATAAACTGAAATGCTTATGGTAAGCAGGACATCTAATGGGTCCTGTGCACAGTTGTGGCTTGTTGCCTCCTCCTTTAAGGAAAACCTGGTTAAAATATATAGTTTGAATTATGGCTGTTTGATAAAAACAGAATCATTTTAGCACAGACCCCAAACCCCGTGAATTATTGTGTCGTTAGAAATGCCAGGAGAACTGTGAGTTTTAAGCTATAAAATTAGAATTTCAGATGTGGAAGAAAACACACCAGTGGTTAAATATTTTTACCATACAGCAAAGCCAGCAGAAATCCTCACCATTTAAAAAAACATTGATAAAGTTTCCTGCCATAGTTCATTTTTTTCCCGCATTTTTATTAGTGCTTATAAAACCATAAAGCCAGAGTCCTGATCCCACTTTTTTCTTACCCTTTTGGGCTTTCCCCTTTTCATAAACCTAAATTAGGACTGTAGTATTATTAGCCCATATTTAGTAGTCCTAAAGAATAACTTCTGACTAGAATGTGACTGTAAATACTTTTCATGTAAATAAATGCAATCTCAGTTTTGGTAGAATTTGTATGTAAAAGAAATATGTGCAAATGAAACTAAGTGCCTTGGATAGATGGTTTGGGATTGCTGATTAATTGGAACTAAAAACAGATGAGAAAATTGAACATATGTTCTTATTCAAGTTCCCGGGAGGATTTGTCAGGGAGCTTGGCATACATTAATAATTGCTTGGAATGGATTTAATAGCTCATCTTGTAGTTTTGCACATGCAAAACAATCAGTCAGTATAAAAAGCATGGTGTCATCTGTCTTAGTTAATTAGGGATCTCGAATGCCTTTGATAATAAAGGCTAGCAATTAAGCTACAATTCCAGAGGAAGCATTTGGTTTTGTCACTTCAGGATCCATAAGCAGCAGGAGGAAGCGGGGAGGACTTCCAGGAATCTTGAAATACTTTGAGTTTATGATGTTTTCCTGCACTAGCACATGGCCAGGCTTGTTGGCTCCTCAGCTACTGAGTGCTCACAGGGGTGAGAGTGCTGGGGATGCTCCCTGGGGCATGTGGAGGCTCACAGGGACCTCTCCCCATGTCACTCCACGTGGCAGCTGCGTGCTGAGATTTCACTGTACGAACCTGATGCCAAACCCAGGCGCTTTTGCTGATGGCACCAGTATTTCCAACAATATAAGACACAACTCCCCGAAGGAACACACTGTGCTTGTGCTCTCCTCAGGTTTTCCCTGTGGGTCACTCACCTTCCCGGGTGCTCCTGGAGGACCTGGTAGACGCTGATCTGGAAGGTTTCGTTGTCGAAGCGTTCGCGGATGTAATCCTTGTATATCCGGAACTCGGCAGCCGTCACCGCTTCCCCCTCTGGGATTCTGGAGAGATCAAACCTGAACTCTCGGTAGTGGCAGCGCTGATGGTGAAACTCTCTGTCATGCTCCACTGAAACAGAAAACAGCCCATTAGCCACCTGCTTTGTTCCCTTTCCCCTCGCCATCAAACACGCTTGAGAGTTGCCACAACAGAAAAGGGCAAGAATATCTGATTGCAGCATCTCACGCTGTCACTCGGTTCATTAAAGCACGTAGGAAATACATGACTTTATCTGGGCTATTATAAGCATATATGTGTTTATCAGAATCCCTTTGAAACAGTTTTACAGCTGGCTGGTACAGGGTGTGGGGGACTGTTGTGTTTTAATGATTTTTGGCAGCTTTGTGCTTGACAAGTGACTCTGGACATTTGCCACCAATAACAACCAAGCTGCTGTGGGAAGGAGCTGAAAGAAACAGATGGGGCTTTTCAGGAGTGCAGGTTCTTGGCCTGGCTCTGCTTCTGAAAATTACACAGGCATACACACATACCCACACACATATATACACAGATTCCAGTCCTTGAGGCTTTTCATGCCAGCGACCCACATTTGGTGCCAGCTGAATTCATCACAAGCTCACGGCTCCGCTCTGAAGGGTCAAAGCTTTCATGTTAAAGGATCTTTAGTGCTTAGGGTTGTGAGGCAAATGTTCAAAGTAAGGACCTTCTTTCACCTCCCAACCCTGACTGTGAAATAACAAGGAGTGCCAGAATCCTCCCAGGACAGTGTGGGGATGGTGTGTTATCCCTCCGAGTGACAGGCCTGCCTGTCCCCTGACGGACAGCTGATGGTCTCGTGCTTGTGGATACGGAAGCGGGGGGTCAGTGCTGGGAGGAAACAAAGACTTCAAGACAGTCCTCCAGCAAGGGGGAGGCGAGGTGTCAGTGCCCCAGCCCGACACATGACGCAAATCACCCTTCTTGGGACAAATTCCAAATTAAACAGACAAGTCGGACAAAGGAAAAGGGGGAAACGGAGGTATAAGGGAATGAACTGACTCGCCCAAGGTCACACTGCATGACATTTTAAGAGCTGAGGTTTGAACCAGAGACTTCCTATATGTCCCAGTCCTGTCGTCTGTCCACTTGACCTCTCTGCAGCTTGACTGCACAATTCAAGTAGTTAGCTCTGAGATTTCCTTGGCAAAGAATGCTTGTCTTTCTACAGGCCTGATTCTCTTCTGGCAGCAGTAAATCCATTGTGTAAATCCATTGACTTAAAGGGAATTACTCCTGAAAAAAAGGAGTTTCAAGCAAGAGTCTGGAAAGTGTTATTTAAATTTACAGCGCTGCACGGTACAAATGTACATCAGCACCTCGTGGGGTTCTCCCCTGTGTCAGGGACAGAGTGTGGGGAGGCTCTGGGAACCAGACTGTGTCCAAGCATGGAGCAGGTTCAGCACTGCTTTGCTAGCCAAGATTCAGCTGCTGGCCATGGACTCTTCCTCCTCTCTCACATCCCTTCTGTGAGGAGTCCAGGGCTCACAGTTTGCCACTGTGTGATTGCTGTTCAGGGAAATACTTCAGAGCTCTTACTCATAGCTGGGATTCATCTTAGAGAGTTTTTTAGGTACGAAACCTCTACACTTTCCAAGACAAAGGTGATTAAGTTCAACAAATGGTTTAGTAGGTTGGGCAGTTATACCTCTAGCTAAAACATCTCGTAAGCCTCACGGAGATCGTTCAGTGTCTCATACCCTGACGTGGGAGAATATTGTGAATATTCACCACTGTCTGTAAAACATTTGGCAGGCTAAAACTGCCCTGGAAGTGCTAGCAAAACTATTAAATTTACCTCAATCCCTTTCCTCCAAACTACTCCTAATAGAATAAGATACTAAGAGTGTGATTTCAGTCTCAAAGGAATTTGTCTGCACCTAAATTATAGGGGGGAGGGAAAAACACTCTAATATAAAATAGCTCCTTTAACCACAGCTACAGAAGAATGACTATAATGCTGTGTGGTTTTAGTTGTATTACAGATAACACCACAGGCAGGGTGTTAGCAGTAGGATGTACCAATATGATTTGCTTCCAAAGACATGGGAAGGCTAAATTCCCAAAGGCAGGTGGGTGCACCTTTTCAGTGTATATGTGTGATGACAACTACATCAGCCAACACTGGTCTTTAGCTGCACTTTCTACACAAGGTCTGACAACAAGCACATGAAGATGAAACTTTTTGGGGTGCTGCTAGAGTTCACAGTGATTTCCTCTGCAGAGCCCTAGAAAAAATGTGTCATTAGTATGAAAAATTAACAGCCAGGGTCATAAAATAAAGAGCCTCGAAGTTTGAACTTTCCCATGCTTTGCAGATGTTGGGATATAGGGTTTTGGCCTGAGCCATCTTTAGTGTTAAAGCAAACATTCCTGTGGCTATAGTCATTAAGATCATGAAAATATGTGGATATGTAACTGAAGAAAGAATCCCAAGAAACCCTTCAACTCAGTGTTTATTGTTTTTCCCCTTTTTCTTTGCACTTTGGACCTATCTGCTGACCCAGAAGTAACAAATCCTTTCAGAACTAATTTATGAGAAACACTGACCCTGAATCAACATCTGTTAGATGACTGCAGTAAATCTTATTACATAATTAAACACCAAAATCTATGTTAAAATAACGTTAAGGGTCTGACTCGAACTCATAAAAGCAAGACTCTTCATTATGAAGGCTGAAATCCTATCCCTAAGTCATACTGCTGTGTGTTGGTATTTGGGAACATATGGTACAGTATATAGGATCGAGCACTTTTTGTAGACCCCAGTAATACCTTCAGCACAACGGGGTAAGCAGAGGAGCACTCAAGGAGCCTGAGTTTCCTGGGTTTGATGGGTGTTAGACCTTTGACAATACTGCAACTGGGTCATTTCCAGTTAATTACCTGAGGAGTTTGAAGGGGGAGAGTGAAGGGTAGTGTTAAGGAAAAAAAAGGGATGGGGGAAGTGGTATTTTAAGTGTTCAGTGAAACAGTTGAGAGAATTGCAGCAGCTCTTTGAATGTGACTGTAGTTTCTCCAGTAGATCTATAAAATCCATGATCCCCATTGACACAACATACCATAAGAATGTTTTGATCATTCTTGAAGGACTTAGTCCCAGCTGTTTGTCAGCCATTACATGTTTATATGCTCCCTTAAAAGTCACCAAGCAATATGAATATTTGCTGGATTCGATTCAGAGCCCTTTTGCCCACAGAACCTGAACTCATGTTTGTTCCAGGTCCACAGTTCTTACAAATCACTACTACCCAAAGGCTTTGGTGAATGGTTTTAGCCCAGATCCTAATTGCAAACATTGGAAATTCCAGCTCACAATTCAAATGCCTTGGCAAGGCAGCTGCTTGGAGAGGAAGCCAAAGCTCTGGATGTGCAATCAAAGGTTGTAAAATAGGAAAAGGAAGAACACCCTTGAAAAATAATTTTGCTGTCAGGCTGTGTGCCTTAGCTGTGGGAAAACAGCGGACTTCCTCTCCTTAAAAAACAATCCAAAGTCACTCACAGGTGGTGCATGTGTAAATGTGTGCCTCTCCTCATTCTTGGAAGTAGTATCACATTTTGGAGGCACAAACACTATTAAAAAATTCTTCCCTAATTTAACACATGGCTCAAAATTTGCAGAATAACTCTGGGCATGGTGAGTGTGGCAGTTAATTGGAGCTACAATGGATGAGGATCATCAGACACTCCCTCTGGCAGAGTTCTTTGGGAAAGGAAAGGTTGGGATGGAGCTGTGAGCTGTGGGATGGAGACGGACAACAGATTCACAAGAAAATAAGCAAGACACCAAAATGTACAGGACAATTAAGGTGATCCAGCCAAAACAAGCAATATCTCAAGTTAGTGGTTATCAGCAACTTCACCACACCTGTCTCAAATATGCAAGTAAGATCAGCATCTTTGAAAGCTTGGCCTTGCTTATCTGTGCAGGATCTGAATGCTGCACAGGCTGCACTATCTGATAGAGATAGGGCTCTGAGCTCTCTGAAGTCTTTTGTCTCTCCAAACTGACTCTGTTGTGGCCTGATGGTGACGCAAGAGGAGACTGGCATAGTTTTGTAACGACAGGGATGGTCAAAAGAAAACAGGATGGATACATGTGCTCAGGTGTGAAGTAGCCGGGTATCAGATCAAAAAATATGGGAAAGATGGAGATAAAATGTCAACAAATACCGGGTACTTGTTTTGACGTGTCCTGAAGTGTACTTTTCAGATATAGAACTTGGAAACATCAAGATGCAGGGATGAAAAGGTGTAGCTGTTGGTGTCAAGAACTCGGAGCAATATGGTTGAGACAAGTACTAAAAAAGTAATGTTGTATAGAAAAGCTTGTGGTCCTGATTGAACACCCCAGGGTACCCAAACTTCTAAAGCAAATGACACACCAGCATAAAACTGAAACTTAGGCTGATCCCATGTTTGGCTATTTTCACAGCAAAATATGTTGAGACTAGAAATAAGCACCCCAACTGTTTTCAGCTTCTTTGTAAATCACTGCTGGTAAGTGAAAAGCTGACCTGAGCTAATTCTGTAAACACTGGTTGGACCTCTGGGTTTCTAATATGGATTGATGGCAGGCAAGGCATGACACGTGACAGCAGAGATTATACTGAGACATAGCTTGCAGTATTATTATTCCTCTCAACACATCCTGGTTCAGCCCTCGTACCCAGCACAGTAGCACCAGCTCCGTGTGTCCAGCAAAGAACCAGTGAATCACAGCAGTATTTTTCCAAGAATTAACTGTGTTAAAAAACAATTATTATGGAAGCATTTAAGAGCTAATCCAAACTCCAGGGGAGTCAAAAAAATAATTTCTACTAATTTCAATGGATTACGTGGGAGGCCAATTACCTACCCAGGTATTTTTTACGCTCTTGTTTTCTGAAGATGCAAAACTTCTTTTTCACAAAGAAGGCCAACACCAGATGAATAGATTCTGTGCTCAGGCTGCCAAACTGGGAAAGCTTTGGTAATTCCATACTTCCTCCTCCCTCCACATTTGAGTGATGCACTTGGAATATATTTTGAATATATAAACAAGTAAAAACATACATTTTCTTGTTAACGCT